TGAGCAGTTTCCTTACCTCTGAATCTATGCAACATTACAGAAAAGGACAAACAAGCTTGTCAAGAAGCAACTGTCTCTTGGAGCAGTCTAGGCCAAGCTCAGTTGTGGTTGCTCCAGACCATGGTGAGAGGCTCTCCCAGCCTGTGCCGGCTGGAGGCGCGAGCCTGGCCACGCAGCCCGGGATAAGCTGGACACTTGGAAGAGAGCTGGGGAATCCAGGCCGCTGCCAAAGGGAGGTTACTGTTGTGTTATTGCACTGGGACATTCAAAACGGTATCTGACACAAATGCTGAAAGAGAAAAATTAATACACACATCACTGTGCTACAAAAGCTGTAGGCCTTTGAATGGTGGTCGATTTATTCTTCATGGTTATCTTCAAACGCACAGCTCTGATCTCCTCTCTAATCACATCACAGACAGGGTCAGAAAGGAAGCATGGAAAAATACAAACCAAGTAGACCACATCACATGTGTCTCCAAAGGTCTAAGGCACGAGAGAAACCAAAAGGCAGCATCTGGAAAGTTTTACTTTTTATTTTTCTAAAATACAAATGTCTGTCTTGTGTTAGTAACTTTAATAGGATAGGCCGAATGCATCCGGTAAAAAGGAGGCACTGGCTACAGAATTCAAAATACTGAAGGTATTTTCTGGAAAGAAATTTATTCTGTTGATCTACACTTTAGATACAACATTGAATCAAATTCATTAGTTATTATTTTTACATCAGAATCTTTGAAGTTTGGGACTAATAAACTGGAACTTGAAAAGTTTTTAAAGTAAACTCCTATTAATGTGTAGATATGGATCCATAAAAAACATAACCAAGAATTTTATACACTTTATTAAAAGATCAAAAAATAAACAATAACAATATAGAAGTAACATACTAAAATGAGTAGCATTATGCACATTTCTAAAGCACGTACAAGCACTACAGCAATATAATGTGGCAAAAAGAAAAATAAATTCAAAGCGTACACCCTGTTGGTAGCAGTTGAGGGAATGAACTATCGTGTTATGGAACTGAAATATTGCATTAACCTATGCCTGTCTGGATCCAATGATATTTTAATTTCTTACAATTCCACAGGGCTAAGTGTAATCATTTGTATATATTTTCTAAACTATACCATTAAATTGATATCTAATGTTTCCCTTACTTTGTTTTACCAGAAATGCCTATGAAAAGAAGAATGTGCTTCAAAGATCTACTTTACACAGTACAGTATAAATGTTTTTATATATTTAAATTAAAAATTAACAATTTAGGAGAACATTCTCTCTTTGATTTTAGTGATTGCCTAAAATACAATTCTCTATTTATAAAAAAAAATAGTGACCTGTTGTCAGGTGATATAATAAAGGGTGGGGAGTTGGTTCATTTTCATGATCTAAAATAAAAATATAATAAAACCAAAGCTAATCAGAAAGAAAAAAAAAAATCCCATAATCCAATCTAAGAATGGTCTTATCATCCCCTCATCTGCTAGGATACAAAAGCCATGGCAACAAAATCATTTGGCTTCCACCACTATCAAATAGCATCTGTGTACAGTAATAAAGAACTGGAACCTTGTAATTCGGTGTCAGGTAATTCTCTCTGTTGTGTGTCTGGAAAAATAACTTCATTTTATTTAAGAGTTGTGTTATTTTTGCATGTTTAAATATCTCCTTTGAGAGGCAGATAGAGTTATTTTTGATGATAGAGGATGTCAGTAAAGATCACTAGCAAAGATTTAAGCAGTGTTATCATGATCATGCTCATACCCCAACGAAGTCTGACCAGCTATGATTCATTTCGCATAGTGCAAAATATTTTTCTCTCACGATCCTAGAAATGAGAAAGAGCTTGATTACAGAAATTGATTACAGCAAAGGGAAGCCTTAATAACATGGGGGTATAACTATCTGATTATTTTGTATTAAAATCTAGGTTATCACAACACCACAAAGAGAGGCAACATCCGATTTTTCCCTGTTTTAAAGACCCCGGGGCTGCACGATGTCACGACTCTGACTCAACAAACCACTCACCAACACAACCCCGTGGTGCAGTGAGGGTTGGCATCGCCAGGAGACAGGAACCTCCGAGGTGCCAGGAGTGCTGGCTGAAGAGTAGGTCTTGCACTTGGCAGTGACAGCTCAGCCACCAACCCTGGGGCGGGTGGGAAAGGGAGACAGTGACATCGGGTGCCACCACCCACCAGTTCTGCTCTGGAGGACTCAGTTCATTGCTTGAGTCAAAACCAGCCTCGTGGCAAAACCAGCGACTTTTCTGTAGCAAAACTGGGACTTGCGTTTTGCCAAAAAATAAAAAATAAAATAAAAAAAAAAATCCAACAAAACCCTGAACTTGTTCCAATCAAAAATAAATGGGTCAACACAGGCGCTTCAGCTTCTTCAAAATCCCCTGGTACTGCAGAGCCCCGGCAGTACCAACACAAACAGGAACACGAGGCAGCTCAGCAGGCTGGGCTGGGGGCCCACAGCTGTGGGTGGTAGCAACTCAAAGGGGCTTGTTAACCCCAGCCTGGAGCATCCAGTGGCCACACTGCCATCAGCCTCCACCTCCCTGTCCCAACACCCCCCAGCAGCGCCATCGGCAGCACTGCTGTGTGCCTCTCAAAGGAACACCACGGCTGTTGTACAGCAGAGGGAACTGGCCCCAGACAATCCCAATCCATCCCTGTCCATCCACTGCTCACCAGTCCCTTCCATTTTGATACCTCGCACCAAAAGGTTAAAAGAGAGAAATCGGTAAGTTGTGACATCTCAAATTCCTGCTGGGATTTAAAACACTCGCCACAATGACAGTCACCTCCCACAGACAAACAGTTCCAGCAAGAAATAGGATTAGGTGCTAGGAAAAAATATGTGTGTGCTGCCATGGACCTAGCGGTCCTAATAGGATTCACCGAGAACACAACCTATCAGAAACGTGACCTGGGGTGTGTTTGAAAATGTAGGCTGATTAAAAAAAGTAATTTGAATCTTTGCTAGTGACCTTACTAATTAATTCCACACTGTTTCCCATTCTCTGTGCTGCAGGTTGGAGCTGACCTGTTATCAGTCTGCTGTATAATAAGCTATGGCAAACTACAAAGCTTTTACAACAGCAAAGCAACATCATGCTTTCAGATAAGTTTTATAGCAAAAAACTCCTCCTTTTCAAAGCCTTAGTAATACCTATCTCTTTTACAAACTTTTCCTGTATTATTACAGACTTTTTATATTCAAAATAAGTTCCAAGGATTTCTTTCGTGGACTATGTACATAAGTGCAAAAAAGGTGTGTCTCACACATTCGTACACTAACTGAATCAGTTTAACTGCAGCATATTTGTATCTTCAACACTGTTACGGGGTCATTCCACAATATTTTTTTTTTTATGTACAGTTTTTGCTAATATAAATTAGTATTAAAATAGTTATATGTGTAATTATTTAGCCCTGATCATAACGTAATCATGTGACTGCTCAATTTCTGGAAAAAAAGAAAATTGCAGGCAAAGCTACAGTACTGAAACGGATTAATTCTGAATTTCCACTGTGTGAATGAACGTGAAATGAAAGCAAGACCGGTCACTACGTTGTAAATACAGGCTGCCATGTTTCCGAAGTGAAAATACTGTGGAATAACCCTTGCCACACAACAATTTCTACAAGCTATAAAACCTGACTCTAAATCCATGTGTTGTAAACTTCTTGACTGAAAAAGTGACCTTAAAGACACAAATTCAGCGTTCACATGGGACTTTGGGATTTTAAAAATATTCAATCATATCTTTATCTGACAGTATCGAACTGTACCTTTAACAAGCTCATACTGTTACACATCACTTTTAATTTACATGTGAAAATTTCACAAATAATGTATACAAAGGTAGCCATGTTGTAGTTTTGTTGCCATAGCAACAACAACTTAATATAATTAGTTAACAATGAATCTATCATTGTAGGAGTTACATACAAAGTTAATTTTGTTCTTAAACTGTAAACTATACAAACTAGTTATGGACTGTATTCTATACCTTACCATGCTTCAGTGTTGGTTTAGAATATAACTAAATGGGCTGAATACATGTATTAAAAATTTTAAACTTTCTCTAACTCTCCTTCAAAATTAAATTCATTAGTTACTAAAGATATCAAAAAAAGCAATAATGAAAACCTTAAAAACTAATGATAGAGAAATGAAAATATATGACATGAATTAATGTGTTGTAGCCTAGTAACAATGTGTTGTAGCTCTATTTACATTTGGATTAGGCTATCAACTATTTTTTTTTAAAGTTATTACAGTCTTTAACATACAGTATATACTCTAAGGCCTTCAACAGGCACATGGTAAAATCAGGTCAATATCAAACTAAATCCATTCAACAGGAATGGGAAATTAGATTTTCCTCATAAATTTCACCTTTTTCAATTTTCATGTCTGTGAAATGTACAAGGGATAAACAAAACGAGGACTCCAGTTTCTCAATCGTTGTGTACCCGCGTGTCCTAGAGCTACTCTACCGCGCCAGCCACGGCCCGCGGGGCGGAGGGGACATCTCGACATCTCGCCGGCACACGCGTCTCCTCCTCCGGCCACTGCGCCCACGACACACACCCATCTCCAGCGCCGCCTCCGCGGGGGTCCCGGCTCCGGCGGCTCCGGCGGGACGTCCACCGGCACACGCGCCGGGAGGACCCACCCCGGGAACCCGGAATACCTGCGGTCGGTGGCCAGCCCGGCCGTGCTGCCCTTCAGGAACACTCCGAGCACGGTGTGGGACAGCGAGGAAGGATGGCAGGGAGGAGAAGCGCGTCGGAGTGCTCGGGAAGGGGGCCCGCGCGGGCTGGCCAAGGGAGGTAATGGTTTCTAGAACATTGCGATGCAAAAATACACAGTCAAAAATCATCAGCTAGAAATTTCCAACTAAAAAACACGGCTGATTGTGAAATCATGTTCCAAATTACTAAAAACACTGTATTTAACAAAAATAATCTTAATAGTTTTATGAATCCATTTTATTTTAAATCCCTCTTTTATTGTCTGCTTATGTTACAGTTTAGTAGTAGTACTTTTTATTGAAACTACTAACAACCTTTTCTCGTGAAAATGATCAATCTCAGCTTTCATTTTCCCTCTGCATGACCCGTTTTATCCAAGTTTCAGCATTTCTTGCATATTGTTTGCATAAGGCTGAGAGAAATGGACAAAGAGAAATAACTTTGGATAAATAAAAAATATAGGTTCATGGAAAGTGGGAAGCTTATAAAAATGTCACTAAAATTATATCGATTTAAACAAACTTACATACATCTCTTGTCAAATAAAGGATGATATTCATGCTTTTATGACATTTGTTTAGAGTCACTAACTAGCTCTGTGACTTTGTAATAGTCTATTTAGGAAATTTATAGTCTGGCGACTGTTTTTTTTTCTTTTCTTTCTTGAACAAAGAAAATTAGAGCAAGTCATTGCACAACTAGTTTAAATAGTGCTACCTCAAAATGGCATTTTTGCCGAGATTGTTTTGAATTTGGTGAAGTTTAGTGCTTCAAGCTTTTCTTTCCTTAAACTCATTTACAAATTAACACTAAATTTGCCAGCAATATAAAAACTGTTGTGGCACCTAATATAACTACCCTGAACATCCCTCATTGGACCTCTTTAATAAAAAATAATCCTTAAACGCGCTTTTTTTTCAGTGCTTTAAATGTGACATGAAAACAGCTGTATTCTAGGTTTACATTCTATGCACATCTATGCCAGATGTTTAAGTCGATAAATAAAACAGGAGGTTACATCAAAGTGTCAAGATATACAAAAATCCATTTAGCACTGAAAAAATTTCAACCTCCTTGAACTCATAAAGCCATACAAGCTTGAATGCATCCTTTCTGGCTTAAGAAGATCAGCTCTGTTCTTTGTTGAGGCACTGGCACAGGTTGTGCAAAACCCATTTTTGATACACAAATAATTTCAAACAGGAAGTACTCAAATCCACTTTTTCCACTAACAATGTTATGGTTTTGGGAAACAGAAACTCAGTGGTGAAAAGAACAGGTATGTGGTTGCCAATACAAATGAGAGTCATTGATTTCAGGCTGCTTGTGAGTGCAGATGGCTGGGGAACATCTACAGACACAAGTGACTGTCAAAACAATGGGTCCAAAAGGAGGTCTTGGGGGCATGTTTTTCCCCCCCCCCCAGGGTTTGGTTCAAAGTCTGCTGAAGTGAACAGAGAGATTCCTTCTGGCTCAAGGCCTTTCTGAGCTGGGCTCTTCAAAGGTTCATGTTATGAATGAGTCTCCACGGGCAGATGGTCAGAGCCTGCTCTGGGGCACACAGGGTGCACCCTAAATGGCCCTCTATCACTTGTGGCCCATGGAGGTACATATCTAGCAAACTATCTGAGCTCACACTGGAGGAGATGGGGCAAGGAAAACCTCTAATCAGGACAAAGAATTTGAAAAAGAGGAGAAAATGTGGTTGACAGAATTTGGCACTCTACAGGATCACTGTGAGCTCAGGGTCGGCGGCCCTCCAAACACTGGGAGTTGGCCTCTTGCTTGGTTTCAATGACAATTCTCTTTCTCCTTGCACGGAGTTTGGATTTACAGCAGCAAATCCATTTCTTCCATAATGCCAATGATACTGTAGAGCTATGACAGGGATGAATTTGGTGGTATCCTCAACCAAAATGCATTCTGCAGCCAGATTGTTCAGCAACGCAGCATAACGACAGGTTGGGCCGTCCAGGGTGCATGGGCTGAAATGGTTTAATTCGTGCGTATGAAAAGGAGGTATTGAGAACTAGCCCTTGTTGTGCAGCAAACATTGCTCTTGATCAAGTAGAAGGTGCCAAAATACATCCACTGACCTACAGGAGCTCCATTAAGACAAATGTTTATCTACGGCAGAAAGCTTATGCCGAGCTTTTTCCTGCTTTGTTACTGCTGTGTTTGCTTTAAAGGGCCAGAGATCACGGAGGAAAAATATCACCCACTTATGGAAAATGGTGATTAAATAAATGGTGCATGCTGACAAAATCTGAAGAAGAGACACAGGAGATTTCAGGCCGAAATGTTTCAGCATGCTTGGTGGAGACAAGCCCCAGGGCCTGGTACTGCCCAGCCTGGGCTGAGCCGTGGCTCTGGGCCCACTCCAGCTAAAGGATGGCATCTGCTCCTCTCCAACGCAATGAGGTTTTGCCCAACTGAAGCTGTCTCACATCACCACCTTTTTTCTGTTGTTTGTTTTGACTGCACCATGAGAACAGCGAGAGAGATTGTGCGCCGTGTTCAGCTGAGAATGCACTTCAATGGACAACAGAGCTGCAGAAATCCCTTGATGCTTTCCCCTGTCTGAGCAAATTGTTCCTGTCCCCTTACTGAGCCTGGGGTTCTGTGGTGGTTTTTTTTTTTTTTTTCCAAAAGTTTCCAGAATCAGCTCACTGTACTGAAAGGAATACCCTGAGCTGGACTAAAATGACAGCTGTCCTTTCATATCACTTGTACTAAAAATTTGGAGACTATTTGAAGGCAAATTTTAAATGATAAAAGGAACATTTAACACAAGCAACTTTAGCTGACATTAACAGCAAAATCCAGCAAAGGGCAGAACATTCCTGTGTCATGTTTTTCAAGCACATAATTCCTGTTTCCCACAATAACATTTTTAGTAAAAAACAAACAAAACCCCATAAAACCTACAGTATATGAAAACTTAAGACATAACAATAATGAAAAAATGGTATTGAGTATACTTGATAATGATGTACACTTTAAAACAAATCAATAGACTATGATGTAAACAAAACAGTAAGATAACACTTTAAAAACAAGACAAACATTTATCCATCGATAGTATACAGTAAACCAACAGTCCGCTGTGCAGATGCACTTATCAGGATGGTAGTCATAAAATGATTAAGTGTGTTAAAGTAATGTGTTATAAAAGTCTATTATAATTTCCTACTTGTATATCTCATATAACAGAGCGCTGTTTGTTAATTGTTTCTATAGTGCTTTTTTTTTTTCTTTTTTTTTGACATTCCCATTGATCAGTTTTTGGTTAACATGTAGGCTGCAACAGGCTTACTGTAGAGGTGGTAGAGAACGATAGAGGGAGGAGGGGATATATACAGAAAGGCCATGCGCAGCTTCCCACCAAGAAGTCCTGGTGCTCCATAATTTTACTGTTCAGAATTTCAACATGGTCTGCTGCAGGGAAAAGAAAAAACAACAACAACAAAGAAAGAGTGAGAAGTCAATACATCTATATTTTAAGTGGCATTCTAAGAAGATACATTTACATCCTCACTGCATTGCCCAAGAGGTTGTCATTAGTATGTTGCAGAGAGAAAACATTTTATTGCGTTAATTTTCTGACATAGAGTGAAATTGCTAATAACACACTTGGCATCCTCTTAAATCTGCTGTTAGGGCTTTCCCTTTCCCATGAACTTCACGCACACTGACAAGACAAACAGTGAAAGAGGGAGGCTGGCAAATAGTAGTCTGATTTTCGGACAGGATGCCAGGTAGAGAGTGACTAAGGAGAGGGCCGAAGGAATCCCTGATCCCCGTTAGCTCTTGTTTCCTTCAGACAGTCACATTAAATCTGATCCTAAGGAGCCACGAGTCAAAGGCAAACTGGGCCCAGAAACAAAACACAGACACAGAAACCCTGTGCTCAGGGGACCCTCTTCTGGGAGCAAATGGTCTCTCTTGGGATGTACTTGTGAAAATACTTCCCTGAAAGAACCAACACTTGTCTCCTGCAGAGTTACGCTACCAGGACCTGGCTACCAGAGGAAACTAGCAGCTTAGGGAAGCCCAGGATCTGCAGGTAGGATGAAGACTATGTTGCTTGTGGCATCCATCCTGGTCTTAAACCCACCATGAGCCAGACCCTCACTGCAGCTGAATAGCAGAGCTCTGCTCAGGCCAAGCCGGCCTTGCAGATGCACAGCAACTGCTGCTGACCCAATCCTGCTTACCCCAGGAAAGGAAATGTCACTAGGAGCAAAAGAGAAGTTACACCTTTTCGGCTGACTCATTACCAGAGCACGCTTTTGCCACCAACATTGCAAATCCCTGAGGCATCTGCAGGCAGCTGGGAGCCGTGCAGAGCAAGAGCAACCTGTAAACACAGCCCTTGGACCCGGGGGATGCACTGAGGGAGGCTGTGAACACCACAAAACAGGTATTTCAGACACAAGAAAGATTGTTCATTATAAACCATGGGGCTGGTCCGTATCTGTGCTGCAGCTGTTGAATTCCTGTTGAGTCAGCAGAGCATGAAGCCACTGGGGTGCCATGGGCTCAGTCCTTCTGCCTGAGCCAGCCCCACTTTGGGGGATGCAGTGCCTGTGTACAAAGCAATCCACCACAAAGAGAAATACCAAAAAGGAACTTACTGTTCTATCGGGAACTTCTACATCTGTGAAACAAACATGCTGCTACTCAGTTCATCTACTGATAACTGGGATATCTACAGCAAAAAAAACAAAGAACACAACACATTAAAACATTGTCTTGAGATTGGTCTGTTCATTCTCTCTTCAGTATCAAGTTAGTAAGTACGTCAGTGTCTTATAAAACAGGATTCATTCCCAAAAAGTCTTTATTTTGCTATACATTTAAGTACAACATAGCTGCACCACTTCTGATGCCCTGTGGAGTACATGGTGATTGTACTGAGATTTTGACTCCATAGACTACAAGACAGAAATGCCCTTAGACTATCTGGCTGAAACAGGACTCATACAGCCACAGAGTAACACTTCACAGGAATTTCTACTTTCTTCTCATGACCAATACGAGTCAGAGTAAGACCTGCTCTACCTGAAAATAACAACAAAGCACGGAAAAAGACTGGCAATTCCTACTCTGAGCAGTAATGCACTGCCTAGGACTTATACAGGCAAAACTCAAACTGAAAGCCTCATGACCTCGTGCTAGCAGAAGACTAAAGGATGCCCCTGGAGATATTACTGGCATTCGGCGTGGCTAAGAGCCTCCTACAGAGCAAAGTGACACCTTGATTCCTTTGCAATAGCTCTAAACCTGAGAGCATGACAAATAAAAATGCTAGAATAAGTATTGGGGGAAAAATAAACACAAGTGTTTGAAATGCCTCTGGTCTAAATGCGAAAAAGTTGTGGCACACCGAATTGTCAGGAAGCATCACTAGGACAAGTTGTGTATATACAGCTCAGGACTGGTGCGGAAGCAGCCATCACACTCAGTATCTTCAGAGGAAAGTTTTGGAGAGAATTATGGCTCGGCAGACATGCACGGAATCCTGTACACTTATGGCAGTGCTACGACAGCACGTACTGCACATCCAGAGTCATTTCTGTAGGGATGGGTGACATGCTACTGGTGTGAAAAAACTTTAGACTTCACAACCTCGTCCCCGATTTCTTGGTTTTGGTTGTTTGGAGATTTTTTTGTAGTTTTTAGAGTCCAATTTTGTAGTGGGGGGAGGCCACTTTGTGTTTCCACTTCCACTTTCCAGCCAGGAGAGGACATGCCAAAATACCACAGGGAAGGATGCTCAGGGTGGTATTTCTGCTTGAGACTGAAAGCAGAAGTGCCGCACGTCTTGCGCGCCAGTTACGCTCGGGAGTTTTACAGCCCATGTTTTGAGGACCTGGGGGGAGGTATGTTTTCGGAGAAGAGCCTGCATCCCTGCCAATCGCCCATCCCTACGCTCCGGCTGGGCTTGCTGCCCATCCCACACACGGCAGGACCGGCCCCTCACCGATCCCCAGACGCACACACGCACACACGCACGCACACGCTGCCTCTGCACACCCGAGCCTGCGCCGAGCGGGTCGGGACGATGCTCGACCCCGCACGGGATCCAGCCCTTGCCCGGTCCTCAAGATCTGAACACGTGAAAGAAAGCCATTGAAAGGGCCAAACCTGATTGGCGGTAGCTGTTGCAGCGAAGGGGACGCTGGTGGCAGGAGTTGTTGCTGCAGACACAGTGGTGGGCGTAGCACCGTGCATCATGGGCACTTTCGGAAGGGAACCATGGAAGCGACATACGGGAGGGTGGAGCGTATATATATTTTGTTTGTTTGTTTGTTTTTATGTAACCATGGCAACATGTGGTGGATTTGGGGGCGTGGCAGGAATCACAGCAACAAGCCATGTGACATCGTCATGAAGGACACATCGGGGCGCAGCATGCAATCACAGTGCAAAGCAAGACAGCGTTGGGAAAAAAAATAAACAAGAGAGAAGGGGAAAAGCCAATTACAATTATAATTAAGGAAAAAACCAAAACATTCTCAACACTTAGTACATTTATAAGCAGAACAATGATGTATTAGACTCCGAGGGCCAAATTTCCAAAGGGGGGAGAGGATGGGTGTGCTAGCAAAAGCCCACGTCAGCTCGCACCCGTGGGGAGTTAGACACAGCCAGTGCACGTTCCTTTGGGTGGGGACATTTTGGCAAGCGCACCCTCCCGCCCGCCTGGGAAAGCTTGTCCCCTTCCCTCCCCACCCCATCCCCGCCAGCAACCAGAGGTACATGATGCACTTTGCAGCGGCTGCCGCAGCCCTTTCACCAGGTTTTCTGGTCTCTCTCTAGCGGGGACATGTTTTGGCACGGGACAGAGCTGGAGGCACAGCAAACAAGTGGCTGGCGGCCCGAGCTCTCTCCATACATATTTCAGCATGCTCCCTTTCCACCCTAGTTCTAGAGGATTTGGCAAAACTCCCCTCTTGCGGGGTCGGGGGGTGGGGGATGGAGAGGGGAAGGGACCGAGAGGGAAGAATACACAAATGCATCTGAACAGCTACAGTTTGCAGGAAGAGCATCCAAAAGGACAACACAGCAGCAGGGAGCTCGGCAACCTCCTGAAGCTGCGCGTCCCACAGAGCACAATACCGGAGGGGGATGCTCTGGTGCACACACGGGCATCCCCCAAACCCTGGGGGATTTTGCTGGGCCAAGGCACCCGCAAGAAGGCCCAGCCATCCCCACAAACATGCGGTGGGGAAGCACACTTGCCTTCCCCTCCACCCCAGCAGGCATGTCCAGCCCCAGCAGGGAAGGAGCGTGTGCCTGTGGGCTGGCCATACTCCGGCTGTGAGATGTTAGAGCGTGTGGGTTGGGGTTTCCTACAGACAGAAGTGTGTTTGAAGGACTCAGCTCCCCGTCATGCAAGCGGTGTGTCCTCCCTGTGCTATAGGGATGGGGAGGTTCAAGAGCAGAGTGCTTAGTCAGTCATGCCAAAGCTTTCAGACCTGCTCTTGGAAAGCCTTGTGCCCTCCCCTCCTGCTCCCGCCTCTCTCCCTCTGGCTGAAGCGGGCACACACCTGGATGCTGGTGGTCTTGTATAACCTTGGCTGGAGGATGAAAGCTCAGCTTTCACCCGCCCTGCTGTGCCCAGCAGCTGTAGACGGAGGGGAAGGTCCTCAAAGGCCTGCACAGGTTTCAATAAGACCCAGATGCTGAGCCTGAACATAGTGGTTCCTGCAGCACTAAGTAGCATGTTCTCAGCCCTGCCACCTCATTGCATCCCATGTGCATATACAGTGGAGCCTCCCTACCATCCCCTGTACCTGCACACCTGACACTACCCTACAGAGATGACTCTTCAGCCAGTCCATGGTCCAAGCCCTGCTTCTCTCGCTGTACAAGCAGTGCCCTGCTCTGTCAGAGGGGCTGACCCCAGACATGTTCCTCCTTAGCACCTTTGTTAAACCAGTCTTCTAAAATGTCCTCAAAAGGACTACCAAAAATCCAAACTCTAATCTGCCTGATGCTTGATACAAAAAAAAAAAAACCAAACCAACAGGATCCTCCCATTGCTATTTCCTTTTGATAGATGACTTAAATGGGTTGTAAAGGCATTTTAAGTGACAAATTTTTGTCTCTGCAGCGGAACTAAATAGGGGTGGGAACACATCACCTTGGATTCTCTTATTATAATTCACATAAACACTGCACTGCACAGAAATTAAAAGGGATACAACCATTTAAGCCTCAAAGAAGACAGCGGATAGACAGTCACACCACTCAGCCACCCAGGTTCTCACTGATGCATACTAACTTGCAGTCTCTTTCAGATTAGGAAAAGTTGAGAAGTTTGTGTAGAAAAACCTACCAACGCTTGCAGTGGGTGTCATGCACAGAACTGACCCTGCACACCATGCATTGAAGCGTGGAAAGATGAACAAAAGGGATATTTCATTAGTGAAGCTTCAGTGTTAGATATCACTTTTAACTAAAAAGCAGGTATTCTCTTTGCAGCATTCAGTATTTAAGCACATGCAAATAGATTCTGCATATCGGTACATAAATAGTTTAAACTCAGTTTTAAGAGATCATAGCAAACCAAATTAATTCTTTAATTCTTGGGTAATAGGGAATATACTTCTTCTCCCACCTTGGTATCAAACAATATGACTGATCCCAGAAATCAGGGCTGTTTGGGTTTTTTTTGTATTGGGTATGCTGACTTCTTTCTGATCATGTCAGCAGAAAACAAATTGCCCTTAGAGGAATGTCATACTCATGTTAAAACTGACTTTCCAAAAGCAATTTACTCCTGCAAGCAGGGACTGGGATTCAAAGTCTCTAGTTTAAGCTGAAAGAGGCATTTTTTTTCTAGACTTAAAACAATTGTAGTCATGATGCCATTTTCAGTGGACACCCTGAATTCTCCCCCTGTGGCAACCCACCATGCTGATCTCTCAATAACTGAACAGTAGATACTAAGAAAAGCAACAGCTCATTTCCCCTCCCCACAGTGAGAGCTGTGACGTGCCACCTCTCTGCTTTGCCTTCCAGAGCGCTGCAAAGGCTGAGCCCAGATCTGCAGCCTGATGGGTAACGTAAATTCATCAGAGACCCATTCTCTGACTGGAAATCTGCTGCTCTGCCCAGCGTTAATGTCCTCAAGTGAGAGCAGGTGCCTGCAAGCAGACCTGTTACACATCAGCCCTGCGTGTAATTTCATTGCCATGAGATAGGGCACCCCAGTACGGCGAGCGCTGGGCAAAGCTGATTTATGGCGCTCGCATCAGAAATGCGTGTCCTTATGTCAACTTTGGCAACTGCGACCTCGAGGAAGAGGAGCATGCAGCCAGCTGGGGGCCTTGGCATTCTCAAAGGTGTCAGTGTTTCCTGAGGTACTTCACTTGGCACCCAACAGAGCTGCAGTAAGGTCAGCTCAGCCCAACCCCTTCGACAGCACCTTGCAGAGCACAAGGTGGGAGGCTACTACTCGAGACCCTTCCTCCATCTCTTCCTAGGAGAATCCACTTCCCTGGAAGAACAACTTGGCAGCTGCTGAGTTCTGAGTGTCTCCAAGGCTTCTTGTAACAGAAAGAGCACACGAGCACAGGGTTTAGGTCCCCACTCCACCTGAGAGTTTGGTCTCAGGACAGGACTGTCTCTAAAGCTTTTCCCCTGACCCCAAGACAGCAAGGCCAAGGTTCAGGTCCACTGTGTGTTCACCTCCAGGAGTCAGCCCAGAGAAACACTTTGTATATTTTTGTGAATATCATTTGGCAAGTAAATATAGCATTAAACATTAAAAGCATTGGGCATTAATTTTCTCATGATGCTCTGAATGATAATAATGATACTAAAACACGAGCTATCAGCTCTGGAATATTCCTAATTCAGCCACTTACAATGCTTACTACTCTAAGCAGGTTTTGTTTTTCATTTGGTTGCAGTGAGCAGATGTTAATTGGCCAGTCAGCAGTCAGTCACATCTGCCACATTAATATTTCCAGTCCTATATGGATTACTGAACTGCATCTTTCAATTTTACTTTGAGACCTTAAAGGTACAATAAAAGCTGGGAGTTAAATTGCTTTTAAAAAGCTTAGGGTATCGCACTGGTCAAAAGACAAGCAAGAGGGAAATATATGCCTTTAAAGAGGATTATGTAATTCGTATTTACTAAAGACGAACCATTCCCTCTATAAACATCACAGCTGCTGGAATATGTAGGTCACTGAGACAGAAGCTCATGAAGATACCTGCAGCTTCAAGAGAGCAGGCACAGAAGTCCATAAGACATTTTAATATGAGTGCGTAAGAGCGTTACGTAAGAGTTAAAGAATTAATTTGGGATTAACCAGTTGAACCATAAGGAGGAGAAACAGAAAGTATGAATTCAAGAAACATGCAGACATTTTTCTTAGTTTGACTGCTTAAAAAAACCCCAAACCACACAAAAAAATGCTAAGAAGGGACTTTTACAAGTGAAAAGCTCTGAATTGTAGTACGTGAAGGGAAAAAAAGTCAAACAGATGTTAATTTTTCATCCATTTTTAACATGAAACTACACACCAATACTCTTTTGCTAAGGACTCTTACAAATCTGCTCATTAGCTGAACACTGAGGTCATAAAATAAACAACCATGATGGTGGGGAAAGCAAGGAGATGCTTACCTGTGGGGATGAATGTAGGCTGTTGCAACTGCATGTTGGCTAGAGCCTGTTGGTAGTGGAAAACGCTTGGGTTAAAGACTGTGGTGGCACCATTGTTTTTTTCAAGTGCTGGCCTCTTTGGTAAAGGTTGAAGTGCACCAGGCGGCAGGGCCTGTGGATAAGGGATCATTAAAGACAAGTGGAGTAAATAAAGGGGCCCAGATGTAGGTCATGCATGCAATAAATAATAGGGGGTCTTGGCTGCAAATCACCTGCAACTGTGATCAACTTAGAGAGACAGGAAAGAGAAGAGCAGCTAAGTCACAGTACAAGTAGTAGATGAAACAACAGCTTCACTAGGTAAGCAGTTAGTAAATGCACTAGGAGAAGGGGGAGAGTCCAGAAGGAGGAGGGATGCTAACAAGCTTTTTCAGCAGGACTGACTTGGGCACAGAGGTAAAAAAAAGCATGAGGAGAAGGAAGGGGAGAGCTGATCACCTGGGTAGGGTGCTACAAAGAGCAGTTGCAGGCAACAAGCATTAAAAACCCCAAAACAAACAGGTAAGAAAAATATAGTAGATGACTATTTTAAAACAGTAAGATTAGCCTAAGCAACAAATGCCATGGAAAAAAAGGGAAGTTTGCCTCTGGTTCAACACCTGCCTACATGTATGTGTGCATGTGTGGAAATGTGCACACTGTGTGCAGCCAACCCAAGTGTCCAGGTGGTAAAGCAGTAGCTGTTGCCAATCACGCACATAACATTACATTTACTGTAAAATGCATTTCCACTTGTTAGTAGAGAGGCTGAGCAACATGGTCAAGACCAGGCCTGATTCTCCACTGCTCACACCAGCAGCACAGCCACCACCAGCACATTTGGACCTGCCCTCACTTTCTAGAAGGTGGCCTCCATCAGTCAAATACTGCTCACTCATTACTAACAGTGGAAAAAGCCATTGACAAATCCCCTCGTTTTGTTCTATCACACCACCAAGCTCCTTCCAGCCTGTTAAACCTGTTTCATGATCAGACTTGGTAAAAAGCATTAACCCAACTCAGGAACTTTTCTCAGTGAGTTACTCATCATTCACCCAAGCGTGTCTCAACAGCAAAGTAGTATGTCAGGTTCTTAGGAGACAGGAATGTTTTCTAATGATTTACAGCTTTTCATTGTACCCAAGTAGAAACCACATTTTTTTCTCCACATTGTGATAGAAAAGGGTCCTTTTTAATTATGCCCCGCAGTCCTTTTGCACGTAACGCTCCCATTGACGTCAATGAGATTTACGCACGTGGAAGTCATGCAGAATCAGGTCATTTCTGACTAGTTGTTAGTCTGTATCATGTAGCAAAGCAATGGTTGAAAAATAGGGTTATCATTCCTACTTTTTTTTTTTCAACAGGTGACAGTGAATGGTAGGCAATGGAGGAGGTTTGGCTAATGAAGGGTTAAAGCTACAAACAAACAGTACTCAGAAGAAAGGACACAGGTAAAGAGATTTTAAAGCATTATGAAGATCAAGACACAACAGAATGTAAGTGAAAGCTTGCAATAGTTTGTCGCCATCTAGAAACAGGTTTCACTTTAAATTTAATTTACTATAGGAGACTGCTCATCTGAGAAATGTTAAGTAAGATACTTCCAGGAAAAACATTACTCCATCCTACCTCTATTCACATGGTAGCTTTTGGGTGGTTTTAATATTAAAAAAGAAAATTAGAAGAAATTGCATCTGCAAAACTGCCCTCAGACATGCACACATCCTCTGCTAATGCTAGCAGGCATCCACTGGCAGCATTAGGATTTAAGCTTTCCAGATTTCTTCTGGCTGGTACCAGAAGATAACAGTCAAAGATGGGACAATATTCTCAGACACAGACGCCAAAATCTTTTACTTAAGGTCCACATTTTAGGATAAGGTCTTTGAGGTAAAGATCTAAGAGTTTTCATTTCTAGGTAAGCTCTCATTGGTGTCTATGTTAAATCTGACTGTATCTATATCTCATCTATTTAATGATGGCTACATGAATGTTCCTCCAGGCACAGGAGTCATCTGCAGCTTGGGAGACTGGAGTAGCCTCGTGTACATCAGAGAGGTTTTACAGATTAACACTGACTGAAGAACTTGCTGCTTGAATTCATGCTCCTTACAGTGCCTGCTTGCTAAACAATTATTTTCAGACACTTCCAAAATCTGCCTCAGAAAAAGAATTTACTAATTATAGCAAAGCAACTGTGCCAGGCACATAATAGACTTTTGACTCCCCGCTTCTTGGCCAAAGGCTGTCACCACCCCAAAAAGCACATTATCTCATAATGGCAGTGCCAAAGGCAGAACAGCTGAAGGCTTTGAGGCCTTGCCTCGGCTCTTCACAGGACAATTCCTGAGCCCAGTGCTATAGTCAGAACACCAACAGGCCATAGGAATGTCAAGGCACAACAGACTATCCTATAGTCTCTCCAGCATCACCCTTCCTTCTACCCCGCTCTAGCCCCTTGGGAGAAAAGAGCTATGGCAGTCCCACCACTGCTCCCTGAACATCAGCCAGGTAGAGAAACCCAAATAAATAAACGCAACATCTCCAGAGTAACTTATTCTGACTTCCTTTTCTGCCTATGCGTTTGTGTGCACACATGGGTACACAACCTGTGCAGCATGATCCGGCCACTGCACCGGTGAAAGGGTTAATTCAATTCAGTATCCATGTGATAGCCCTGCACTGATTCCAATGAACAATTTCCACTACAAAAATGCCAGGCAGCCTCTCATTTTTGGGCTAGGAAAGCCACATTCCTGCTGGAACAAGCATCTGAACAAAGAGGCTTGTGCCACTTCTCTGCAAGGCAAGGAAAGCAATCCTTCAGCAAGACTGACAGATAAAAACACACTGCATGCCAAAGTCAAAATTTCCCATGTGCCGGTTAACAAAACTCTCTTTATTTTTTTGCAAGACAAGAAATGGATTAAATCTTTGCAACAAACAATATAATTGCACCTGCAAGTTCCCCTGGCATAACAATCTCCTGAGATCAGATCACACTTTCATCCCTCTGCACTCAACAAAGAGGGGCTGGGTCTGCTGCTTCAGCCCCAGGTGTGACAAATACAGACTGATCTGAGAGGGCAGAGGTAGCCCCCGTTCCCTGGCAAGCAGCAGAAGCAATGTGAGCTGTTTCCTCTGAAGATTATACATGCTGTTATCACCACTGTGACTCCTCCTCTGGTGAAGTCTTTGAGAAGAGTTCAGAGGAGGCGACATATTCCAACAACATGGTTGCAAGCCTTCCGATGCGTCAGAGCAGGAAGACTATTAACAAGTGACTTATCTCATGGGGTTTTGTTCAGTGGGGGAGTAAAAGGCTCTCCCATTCTCTGCCAGACCGTGTCTCCTCAGAGACGTGGCTCCTGGAGAGGGCAGCGAGGCACTGTGCAGGTCCTGCCCGCGCTGGCTTTGGGAGCAGCGGGAAGTGAGAGACTGCGACGTCATTTACAGCATCATTCCACCACTGCTGGCAGAAGCCGGTTCCTAGTAAGGCTTCCTACTGCTGCTGCCTAAAACTCTGATAAGGAATCCCTTGACTACTTAAACCCAAAAGCGAGTCTTCAGGGAGGATGGGGAACAGATCAGCCTCTGCTTCCTAGTTCTGGGAATGAGAAGCAACACCAGCTCGATGGTTTCATGGCTCCACTGTGTCCATTCTTCCTTTTTCCCACTGTAGCTGGGCAATAGCAGCTGGTTTTTTTAGATGTATTGAATCCCTTGTTATTTGAGAAAATGGGAAGGAGTTGTCTTCTATGAAGCCAGGACTGACAACAGACTGTGAGAATGGCTTTTGCCTCAATCTGAGCATCACAAAACCAAGTAAAACATATTATTTGAGACTCAGAAAATAAGCGAAGGTAGCTTATATGAAGACAGCTCGCAGGCAGAAGTTCAGGGAGCAGATCCTGTGCCTGAGACTGAAGCAAAAGGCACCCAGAGTTAGTTCCCTTTGCTGACACTGTCCCACTGCGACATGAGGGAAGGAACCAGACAGTTCATCTGAACATGCCACCTAGGTCCTGCACTGAACCTGCTTTAGTTCCCGGCACAGACCTCCAAGGACACTGCTTAGCCCTCTCCCCCCCTAAATCTCACTTGTGCCCATTGCACAGGAACATCCTTGTGCAGGGCAGTACCAGCATGGCACTGCCAGGCAAGGCTGTAATGTTGCAAATACCACAAAAAGTTGCTGGATCTGTCCCACACCACCCAGTCCTCTGGCATTTACAGCCCACTGCAGACCTAATGAGTTAAATTCTCACTGAAACACCGCATCTCATGACTCCAAAGCTGCCAATGTCTGAAAAAAACACTTCAAAAGCCAGAGCTGCCTCCCCTCAAGATTATTCACTGCCTCCAAAACACATCCAGCCTTCAGGAGGCAAAGCTCAAATATTAGTGGATGGTGTGTGGGGCACAGGATTGGCATGTCTGAACGCACACTGCAACATTTCTGGCTGGGATGGGCAGTCTCCCCGGGCACTAACACCACAGACCAAGAGCTTTCATGCAGACTAAGATGGTTACGTGCAAAGCAAGAAGGTGAAAGGTCCAAGTACCAGGTCAAAGGTTGCCTCGAGCGGTCGCTTCAGTGATCTGACAGCTGGCTGAGTCTTAATTAGCAGGCAGCGAGCACATGATGGCAATGGGCCAGGGAGGGGGGTCAAGCACAGTAACAAAAACAGCAAGCAGAGGTGTGTCAAGAGAGAGCAACAATTTGGGGAGGCGAAGAGAAAAAAAAATAAAAAAAGTGAATGCATTATACAATATATTAAAAAGACGAGGCATGCACAACGTGGGGTGGCTGGGTAATTACCTGGCCTAGCGGCTACTCAGCTATTTTGCCTCGGTAAGTTTTAAAAGTAAAGAAATGTCATCACAGGACATGTGCTTTAGGGCTTCGTCGCGGCGGCTGGCACAGCGGGTCAGGAGCGCTCGGGGATCAGCACCTGCAAGGGCACTTGCACTGGGCTGCAGCCCCAGTGCTGCAGCTACAGCCATGCAGGGGCCAGCAGAGCACTCGTGGAGAGGGAAGGACCACCGGACACGGAGGGAGCTTCAAGCACGTGCTTAAGTGCCATCCTGAACTGGGGACCGAGCCCGGCCCAGTTCATCCAAGCGCTGCACTGACTTCAGCCAAGCAGGAGTGAGTAAAGCTACTACTTGTGTATGTCAAGTAACTGCAGGATTGGGTCCCTCAGAAGTCCTGAATTTAGATATGAAGTCATTCCAAATCTGCTTTTAGAAGGTACACCCATTGTCTGTCATCTATATTTTGGTCCAAGAAAATGGGGCACCACTCTTCCCATTATTAAAGTCTTACACCTCAACAGATACAGTAAATGCATCAAACCTTGAAAAGTCAATGAATAATGTAGGCTGTTTTGGTAGCAAGGGTGATGCAACAAGCTATCAATAAATATTTTAAAGGTTCTAGTTAACGGCATACAAATAAGGTTAATTACATTTTTAAGAGAAGCCAGCAGCATGAATAAAACACGCATAGGCTTTGGTTAAGTAGCAGTGTCCTAGATAATTAGTGAAAAATAAAGATTCAATTGTAAAAAACACAAGAGTTTCATTTCAAAAGGTTATTTTTCAACAGACCTGGGTTCTTATCTTGACAATAATAAAAACAATCAGAAAACTAATAAATAAAATCTGCAGGACAAATAAATACCGTAGTATAAATTGGTTGTTCAAATTATATTCCAGGTAATACTGGTGCTACAAGGAGGGCACTTATTTAATTTCTAGAGTTGCCCTGGTTTTGCATTATGCTTCAGCACAAATGAAAAGCAAATTCCTTTACTATCTTAAAAAAAAAAAGGGTATTTAGAAAAATTTTGGTAGCCTCAATTCTAAATCAAAGAGGAGACAAGAACCTTTCTAATATTAATTTAAAAAAAATTTAAAAAAAATCATAGAACAGATGAGGTTGGAAGGTACCTCTGGAGATCAGCTAGATCAAAACCCTGCTCAAAGCAGGGTCAATTACAGCAGCTTGCTCAGGACTGCATCCAGGCAGGTTCTCAGTGTCTCCAACGATAGAGATGTTGTAGTGTTTGATCTTTTTTTGGTAAAGAAATTTTTTATGTTTAAATGAAATGTCCTGAATTTCAATTTGTGCCATTGTCCTATTCACTGGACATCACAGAGAAGAGTCTGCCTCCACCTTTTTTATGTCCTGCATCAGGAGTTCATACACATGGTTAAGATCCCCTGGACCTCTTCTTCCCTACCCAGCTCTCTCACCTCTGGAATAAACAGGTGCCATTAAACCGAATTTAAAAAAATGGCACACTCCAACTAAGAGTTTCATCTGGTAAGTCTTCCTTGACTCGTTTTCAGAAGTGTAGATACAGACACAATTCAAATTAAAGTGCAGTGGGACCACCTCTACCAGGTCCAAAGCACCAAACAGGTCAGGAAGTCACCCTTGGTTTGTGTCTTGTAATTTCACTAAGCCTTGGCAAAGGTATCAGCCACAAGTTTGTTAAGCTCAAACAATTGATATCTTGTCTGTTTTAAGTGGAAATTTTGCTACTGACTTTAACAGGCCAGGATCTCCCTGCAAGTGATCTAATTGTGGGATGGGCAGTCTTTGCTTTTGTTGTGTACTGAGGAAACTGAACTGATCCCTACGATTCAGCCAAGGAAGGTTCCAAGTGCTGCTGCACTTGCATTCATGTCACATCACAATGTCATGTCAGCAAATCACTGGGTTGGTCACCGTGTCCATACCTGGCAAGATGTACTGTGCCACTGAGGGCTTCATGCTGTGGTGAGCACAGAGAAAGGATGAAGAGATGGGATGCATCTTGCACATGCTCTCGGCTCTCTAGTCAGCCATTTACAAAGCTCTCTACTTTTCCACAAACAACACATATGACACGTGAAATCTCTTAGCAATGGAATTACAGCCTGAGAAGAGCTCTACTTACCATTGCAGCTGCAGCTGTCTGGTTCACCTGGTGTTGAGCTGCCTTGATTTTGGCTTGCAGGTGTGCAGGGGGATGAAAGTACTTGCATTTCTCCCTAGAGCATCGACCTTTGATGTAATCCATGCAAACTGTAACAGTATTTTCATTTGTGTCTATCATTGCAATATCTATAGGGTGAGCATAGCGGCAATCATTCTCACCACGTGTGCAATTTCCACGCTGAAACTCTCGACAAACCTTAAAAGAAAGTCACATTGTTGAGCAGAACATGAATTTACTCTTCATTCAGTATTTTCAACACAGAATATCAGTTCAGTTGGCCACATTAAAGCACATGTGTATTCTAAATCCATGCTCATCTGGGGTAGCACATATATCAACAGTCAAAGGAGCAACTGGTACTACTCACAACTGCTTCAGGGAATGAAAAAAACCACAACATTAATAAGGGCAATTACCAAATGCAAGTGAAATACATAATTTGTGCAGAATGGAAAGTGACCCCATAAAGACAATGTCATTTTGACAAAACTTGGGGAGCTCAGGATTCCTGCTCTGCCTCTAAAGCTTAAATGTTAATAACTCTGCCATTTATGTCTCACCTACATTATGTATTTGTTATGGAGTACACTCTTGGGTAGGACATTTAATTCTAAATGTTACATGCTGCTGTTATTTGCAACAAGTGCTTTTTCTTAAATATGAGGTGCCTCTTTCACATAAATAGTCTACTGCCCTTCACAATAAAACCCCAACCCTGGCATTACATGACAGCACATTTGATTACACAGCAATGTGTTTGAAGGTGTTGCCCAAATTACTAGTTTTATTAAGATCTTGCAGCTTCTCCTAAGTTATGACCACTGAAGCATCAGAGGCAGAAGAAAAGGTTTCACAAAATGGATCTGCAAGGTTTCCTTGTCTGAGGAGCTGAGAGAAGTTGTTGAGTACTACAGCTACATACCATGGCACTATCAGACTGAGTGTGGGGAAAGGTGAGACGTCAGCAAGGCAAGATAAAGCACATAATACAAAACAATGTGTTTTGAAATTACACCCTTCTCCACTACCTTCCTGTGTTATAATTTACACCTGCAGGGGCCTCTGAATTCAGGTCCTTAGCCCTTATCTCCTGCAGAGCCTCTGCTTAGGGTTTCAAAGAAGTTGTAACTCCTCTAACACTAAGTCCCAGCATGCCCAGCCATCTGTGGGGGGAGAGATGTCTTTCCAATGCCCCGCACACACCACTCCCATCTTAAAGCTTTCTGTAAAAGCTCAATAAACCTATCTCTAGACAAGGGAAGTGACTGTTACTTCCAAAACATCTCCTACTCAATTCAGCGTAAGAGCAGATCACCTACTTGCATTTCTTTTTTTGAAGTGTGGCAAAAACCAATCCCAACCCTGCTCTAACACCCAGTGAAATCAGAAGAGCAAATTCTCCCAAATTTCCAAGGATTTGGGATCAGGCCCCACAAGAGTCTGCTCTATCAGACATCAACAGCCCTGTGTTAGGAAAGCTGCAAATTAAACTGCACTGTGCTGCATCAGGTCATTCTAGCAGAGAGCAACAGCTGGGCCCACATGTCCTGTTCAGCCCTGTCAGCAGTATTGCATCAGATGTCCAAATACCTCCAGTTTATCCGTACGCATCAGTTTCTGCCCGGCAGAGCCTCCTGGTACTGTAACAGTGGGATTTCCGGAAACCAGGACGGGAGTATTTGGTAAAAGCTCTGCAGGAACCAAGCCCATCCCAGGAGAAACATGACTCAGGTAGGGACTAAAAGCCATCGTGGGGCTTGTTGCAAGCGATGGAGTCACAGGAAATGTTGTCTGTGTATGGAAAGAGGAAAACAAAAGTATTAGTTAAAAAGATCTGTCTTGGATTACCCATCAAAGCCTTGCATCACTTCAATCCTTTTAGACAATTTGATTAGCCACATCAAAATGCTGTGCTCTCCAATCTATTCATTTGTTGCCATTTATTTGCGATCCATTGGCTTCTCCTGACTCACAGATTTGTGACTCATCCTGAATACAAGGCATGTTTATTTGTCAGATCAAAGCATATTGATGATCTTTATAGTTTAATGACACAATTAAGGATTTCATGCCAGCAATTAGGGCAGGCCCAAATTAAACAGACTTCTCATTCCCAAATAAATGTCTCAGCTTCTGTATGTCTACATTGCAATGCTGCAGGGAGACTCCAAGGCAAACTGCAGCTTCAGGACCTGGAAGCAGGTAACCCCATCAGCTGCATGACTGAATTCACCATCAGCCTGCACCGAGCTCCATATCAGCATGGCTAGTGTGGCTCAGCTAGACAAAAGGGATCATTTAGAATCAAGGAGGTATCTCTGCTGTGATAAACCTGGTGGTCCAGCATCCTGCACATCTGGGGTTGGCTTCAGACTGCCAAGAGCCCCCAGGCAAAAGCCATTTTGCAGGAGTATCCCACACACTCCACAAGAATGGCAGCAAGAAGACACCAAACTCATCAATGTCACAACATGCCAGACCTTATGGCTTTGGCAAAAGCAAGGTGAGTCTTAGGCTTGGAGGTACCATGGACAGAGTGTACCAGGTGAGATGGCTGAGGTGGACCAGTATAAGGTCCAGGACCCCACCTATTCTGCAAGGGCAATGAAGAGACAGAACAACAGGCCATAAAGATCTTGACTACTTCAGATCCCTGCACTGTGTTAGTCAGACCCTCGGACCACAGCAGAGCTTCAGCAAGAAGCTGGCTGGCCAGAGACCTCTTCCCTGGCCTGAACTGCTCCAGCAGTGCTGCTGGTCTGGGAAAGGAGTTGCTGTGCTGCCAGGCAGGCCAGATCACACAAGGCTCCTAAAGCAGATGCTCGAAGTCTGTGAGTAGCCCCTACAGCCAGGGAGTTTGTGAGACTTTAAAGCACAAGATCCAAGGTGCATTTGGGAACTAAACCAATTACGGCTGATGAAAAATTCCCCTTGCCCCCACTTGGAAGACTAGAGCCTGCATGGCAGCACTCCCGCTCCTCTAGCAGGGGCTCAAGCAGCTCCCAGTGGAAGCAGCCTGAGACTTGCACCTATTTTTATTTTCCCTCCTGTCACCTGTTCTACTGTGAACTCTGGGTTCCAGTTAAAGCTGCTCCATTTGTAGGTGTACATGATACCATCCTTGGGAGCTACAGCCTCTACTTGGCAATAAATACATGTGTGCTTACTCAATGGCCTGGGGCAATTTTTTGGCCACACACATCATTCCCTCCTTGCTTTTAATTTGGTACTTCTAGTCCTGTGGGCTTCTAAAGGAAACCAGACGTGGACAGTGTGTTCCTCAACAGCGTCTTCATCCTGATACTTTCATACTTTGCTTGTTGTGACGTGGAAGAAGCGAGTCCACAGTAACACCAGCTAAACTATGCTAACACAGCTTTAGCTAAACAATGCCCCTTTCTAAGTTCAGTGACAGCAAGCAGCTCCTAGGCTGGTGGCAAAGGGAATGACAGGGTGCTGCCAGAATACGTCCCACTTTCTTCTCCTCAGTGAGGAGACAGCCTCCTGCATCAGTGGTGCCAGATGCTTTAACATCTTTAGCAGAACTAAATAATTCTCTCTCTGGGAGGGATTTACAATTTTCCCTTCTTTTGAGCCCAAGTCAAGCACTGCTTCAGCTGTTGGAAGACTTTAGCCATTAAATCCATAGACCCTCCAATCCACAGCCCTTTATTAAATAATTTTCTTCTTTCTTTCAATTCTCTGTGGCTCCCAGACATTTTTCACCTTTTCCTGCTATAAAAGCTCTTTAGGATTTTCAACTGCTGTGACTCCCTGAACACTTTAGTGAGAAGGCAGCATCCATTAGACTGTTTTCTTTTGTGTGAGCACCAGTAATTACAGTGGTATCTGCTGAACTTCCGTCACTATTCACACTGTAAATGCTATTTTAAGGAGCTTCTCCAGCTTGGCCAGTCTGCACAGGGTTATGCTGGGGCCTGACACGTTGTCAGCACTTGTTTTATGTACCCATAGTAGCCCAAACCTAGCAGTATATGTGCCTTGCACAAATGTGTGGGCAAATCTACCCGTGCTTCTCAGCACCTAATACAGCAGGAGTATCCTGACTGCACAGGTGTGGCACAAACATTGCTCCAAAGTTTCAGGAGATCCTTTGCAGCAGCCTTCTCCTGCCTGGGCTCAAACACAACCAGCAGCCAGCCCAAGGACCTACCTGGTTTCTGAGACAAAGGGGAGATGTTCTTCCCACTGCTGAAGCAGAGGGTGACAGGGCATTTGTGCAGACTGGGAAGGCTGGGGGCTCGCAATGCCTCCCACTGAGTGAATTCACCAGAAACTGGTGAGAAGGGCTGAGAAACATTCATTAAGAGATAATACAGCAGCCTCTCCACCAAAGCCACAACAAACTGGGAAGCAGGTCCTGCTCCCCAAAACAGTCCCCATCTCCAAGGCCATTCCTCAAAAGCAGCCCCTCTCCTCACTGGGAGCAATCAGCAAGGGCCAATGGATCTGAACTGAACTCAAGCTGAAGCAAGCAGAGAGGTCCACGAGGAACATCAGGGAGTACAAGCTACTTGAGATCCTGGAGACCTGCAGAGGGGTATGTGAAGGAGCAGCATGTGTTTGTATTGCTGCCGCTGTTTGTTCACCCATTTCCGTGCCCTGACATCTGCTGCCGCATTCCCAAGGTTTCACAACCGCTCCTTCTGCCTGCACCATGTGCCCGCTTCACTGATTGGAAGTGACAGTTCTGCTCCACACCCTGCCCGCGGGCAGGGGACTCGCACTCGGCAGCCAAGCGGGTGTGCAGCCAGAGAACAAGCAGACCTCACTCAACACATTAAACCTAGAAGCACTGGGGTTGTAAGTCTGGAGAGTGCTAAGCACCCTGAAAACTGCTCCTTTGTGAGCTGGCACCAGGGAGCTCTGTATTTATTGTGGCTGATGAGGGGAAAAGATGGGCTGTGCTCATTGCCAGACCCGGCTGCCTGTCTTGGATTGGGAAATCCAGTCTGGCTCATGCATCAGTACCAGTAATAAGGATGCTGCCAGCCAATTCTCTCCTCTACGTCTGTGCAGGTCTCCCATGTCCTGAGGGAATTCGAGCAAATTTCTTCCTTGCAGCCAGAACCCAACTGTAATTTTTACTCCAAACAGCACTGCTCTCCTCAACGTGTCTTGTGTCCACCTCTTGTGACTGCTGTGCTGGTTTTGCCTGGGATACAGTTAATTTTCTCCATGGTAGCTGGTATGGGTCTGTTTTGGATTTGTGCTGGAATCAGTCTTGATAATTCTGGGGTGTTTTTGTTACTGCACTTACAAAGAATCAAAGGGTTTTCTGCCTCTCACCCCACCCACCAGAGAGTTGACTGCAACAAGGAGCTGGGAAGGGACAGAGCTGGGACAGCTGACCCCAACTGACCCATGATGTTCAGCTTACAGCATAATGTTCAGCTTATAAAGCTGGGGAAGAAGGAAGTAGGGACATTTGGAATAATGGCATTTGTCTTCCCAGGTCATCGTTATGCATGATGGAGCTCTGCTCTCCTGGGGAAGGCTGAACACCTGCCTGCCCTTGGGAAGTGGTGAATGAATTCCCTGGTTTGCTTTGCTTCTGTGTGCAGCTTTTGCTTTACCTATTAAACTGTCTTTATCTCAACCTATAAATTTTCTCATTTTTACCCTTCCCATTCTTTCCCACATCCCACCAGGGGCTAAAACACAACTGTACACAGCCAAGAGATCTGACAGAGTAATACTATAACTGTACACTAAAAAAACAAACTCTCAACTTAATTGCTGGTGTGCTCTAGGGCAAAACAGAAGGATTGAAAGTATCACCATTTACACCTGCTGCCCTGCTTAAACCTTTTGCAAATTCAGGAAATACAGGGACAGGCTTCCCTGCAAATTAACTTTTATTAACTGTAGGACACAGATGCTACCAGTAACTCCTGAGCAGGGGGAACAGGTTACAGTGCAGCAGCAGAGGGTTCAGGTTGGTAACAGCTCACAAGACTGGTTTACTGAGTATGAAAATACTTGTAAGAATATTAATAATAAAAAGAAAGATTAAATGGATGTTGTCAGAATACATCTCAGGGGGCTTTGACAGCTCTGAGCTCCGATCCCAAGCATGGAAGCCATTGAGTCGAAAGTGTGAGCAGAGAGAAGGCATCATCCCAGAGAGGGGTATTTGTCACCACCGGTGATGACAGAACCTGGAACAGCTGACTTTGTTAACAAACTAGAAGTTGCATTCAATTTGCCTAGCAGAAATTGTGCTAAAGCTAGACAAGAAACACAGAGTGGGTGTGAAGAGGAAGGCAGAGGAGCGGCTGGTGTTTTGTCAAACACAAGCCCCGTCTCAGCCAGGAAGTGTTGATTCTGAGCTACCTCAGACCCTAAAAAGGGAAAGCCTGAAAATGAGACCCACTGTAAATATGGAGGTGTTGATGGCCTGAAGGAGGGGAGACAGGTCACTGCTAAGCACCTATGCATGGAAAGCACACAAAAAACAATGGCAGCTTACAGTCTGGTGATAAAAATGATGATAAAGAAGCTTGTACTGACAAGACTGAAGACCCTGATATTGAAAACATAATTGATGCTGTAAGAAAAAGCAAAAACCTGTGTTCCCCTCCAATGTAACTGCATGGGGCTGGCTGCAAAAACACCCTCCCATGTGAAGGCTGAGCATGCTGGAATGAATCCGACCAGCCAAAGATCCAGCTACCTACCACCACAGATGCTCGTTTCCCCAATCAGACTGCAAAGACACACTCAGCTCAAAGGATCTCTCATTTGTGGGCTGCTCTAGTGTAAAAGACAGGTGTTAACGCCCCACAGCACTGTCTCTTGGCAGATACCAGCTCCTGGGTGGGCCAGGGTACACGTGTTTATTCATTCCTAGTGTGCCTTTGACTAGAGGCTGAGATACAGATCAGGTTTTTGCTGCATAGAACAAATGCCTGCGCAAAGCACCTGTTGAAATCAGCTCCAGCACTTGTTCCAAGCATCACTGGCCAAGCAGGTTGCTCACCCTCTGCTTTAACCCCTCCATCAGCACCAAGGAGTGGTAGCAGGATCCCACTGCCTCAGGAGGGGATCAAGAGCTGGATTAAAGTCTGAGTTGTCTTCAGAGGCATAGGTGACCCAGAGCCATGAGGATAGTCCTGGCTACAAAGACCTTGACAGGAAGAAAAGATGAAGAGCTTGAAAACAAAGAGAGAGGAAACAGCTTTCCCAGGCAGCAGCAGAGGCAGCTGCAGGGCAGGTGTGTCAACGCTGCTGTGCTCCACCAACAGCATGTTCAGGCACTAATGTGGCAGCACCTGGCAAACCACTGCCCTGCTCCACCATGTCAATTAGGACCCTGTGCTGAAGCACCTCTGTGGCCACCTCCAAAAGTCTGTATCACACTGCTGCAAAGGGATAAAGCAGAATGGAGTGGGGACTAGGCCCAGGGTGCAGCATTTTTTGAGTGATCTTGCACTGGTGAGATAGGGCACAAAGTAACCATATCTGAGACACCAGACACAACATTGGCCAAAATGGCTCTTCCTATCAATGCCAGAGCCCCGCTCTATCCACCTTCAACATGACTTTTAAACAGTCTAGCAGAAACAGAGGCAAAACCAACCTAGAGGGCTTCCAGCACATATCAACCAAAGCCAGCAGTCAAAGTGAATTTGGAATTTTAAAAGTCAAAACTTTTAGGAGAATCTTCCTACTTGGCACCCATATGATCTCTCCAAGGTCTCTCCCAGACAGATACACCATGCTGAGCAAATACTCTGCTCTGTGTTCTTGCCTGACTCATTTTAAAGTGCTGTATGAAGCAGTCTGTTCAAAAATGCATCACGGGCACCCAACACACACGTGATTCTCAGCTCTGCACGAACGGTGAGCAGCGACATCAGAGAGCAACCAGAAACTTCAGAGAAATTAGACCATGCCAGCAACCACTAATTCACACCTCATAGGTTCCTCTGAGCAGCGTGCAGCAAGCAGCCCACCTGGGATATGGCTCTCCTCTGAGAGCACCTTCATCAAACAGCCACCACCAGGGGCCTGGCTCTTGGCTCAGCAGAAAGATCGGCTCTTCGGGACAGCAGCAGCGGTGCAAGATCTGGCAGTGAATGTTTAGATGCAAGATCATAGACACACACATTGAAGACCACTTCAGGAAGACTGGTGAAAAGCTGCTCTGTCAAGTGCTGGTTTGTTTTGTTTTGGGTTTGATGGGGGTTTTTGTGTATTTGGTCTTTTTTTTTTTTTTTAACGTGGTAGCTTTTCTGTTGAAAACGCACTTTAAAACGTCTAAGCATTCAGCTATTGTTTGGAGCTATTAAGCACGCTGTTCCAAATCCCATCTCTGGCAAGCATCCCAATTAAGCAGGCATCTCGTTGATCAGCTTTCTGATCACATGGGATTTGTTCTGCTGCTGCATCTGATACAATACTTTCTGCTTTGAAGAATTTCATGTGCAGCCAGAAGGAGACCCCACCCTTCTCATTTAGAGAGAAAAAAAATTCTCAAAGCCAGCTTCCACTGACAGCATCTTTAGGAAATCAAAGGCAGTCGAAAGAGCAATCTCTTGTTTGTCCTGAAATTGGTGTGGAGCAAGTTGGGCAGCAGGAATGAGACCACGAGCTCGTTTACTCTGAGCAAAGTGTGGGAAAGCAGGAAGGGAGCAGTCATTGCAGAGCAAATTTCTATTTTTCTTCTTTGCCCATGTCTCCCTCATGGCACAATTTAGAAACCAGGGACTTTTCTCATCAGATAAGGTTACCTCTGAAATGAGAGCACTAACCAGACAAACCGACACATTCAGTCTCAGAGGTAATTTAAAAGGCAGGAGTGAAATTCAGGAGTGTACTGGACCTGCTAGATTGCAAAGTGGGAAGGTGGGAACTTTGCAAAGAGGAAATCCCAAAGATGTTTGAAACAGCCAGCCAAAGACTGTCCACTATGAATTCCCTACAGAGGAAAACCCCAAACAGGAAAGGTTTGCTTTTGGTACAGGACTTGGAAACCAGTGCTACTATTTTGTGGGAATTCAGGATTTCCTTCTGATGTGCACATACTTTTAAACACCACAAAAAAAGAGGTGCAAAGACTACAGCAGATTAGAGCCTAAGGCACAGCACAACTAAAGACTTTTTCTGTGGCCTGTTTTCTCTTCTGCCTCACTTTTCCATGTTCAAAATGGAAAGAACAAACAGCATTTTCCTAGCTTACATGGCAGGGCCAAGATAAAGCCGCTAACAGACACACGGGATGGTCAGGGTGACGGTGAAGGTGGAAAAGCCCCCAAAAGACAGGAGGAATATGCCACACTGAGGAAATGCCCTGGTCTGGTCCCACCATCATGAAGGGGCACTGGCCAGCCGTCCCTGCTGAAACACACCTCCATCACAAGCACTTAAACATCACAACAGCCTCCAACAAGGAAGAACCCTTCACCAGTCTCTGGTGAGAATAAAGCAGAGACACCTGAGCTTTTCAAAGCTGGGGTGACATACTCAGAGTTCCACTCGGGCAGAGAAGCCAGGCACTGTAGGTGGGACACCAGGCTGGTTCACAGTGCACACCTTCAGGCTAGAAGAGCTTGTCGGAGGGATCCAGCCAGTCCTCTCATGTGGCATAGCACCCAACAGTGGCACATCCAGTGCACATTGCCCCAGGAAAGATATTCAGCCCCAACTTTAACCTGAGAACTCCTAATTAATTCTCAGTGCAGTTTATTCATGTCAGCACCGAAGAGCTGCTTCAAGACCTCTGACATTTCTTAAAATATACATTGTGACAGCCTAAAACTCAGCTGACAAATGTCACCTCCTCCCAGATACACCAACCAGCAATCCTCTCCCTGCTGTGACAGGGTTCTCCAGCCTGAAAACCTGTTTTAACTGACAGGCAAAACCAGGGACAGGCAGTGAAGGCTTCTCTGAACTACCTGCTCTACAAACACCTGTCTCCCACAGGCTTCCCTTCCTACCTAAAGACAAGCAAACCTTTCCTGCTCTTAGTATAAAACAGCATTACTGTGAAAAGCAAGTGACAGGGCTGTGACATTAGCTAGGCTGTGACAAACTCTCTGCTGGGACAACTGCAGTGAATTCTCACTCCCAGAAATAAAACGTATTAAGGTCTGGGTAGGATTCATCTTCCCCAGTTTTAGTCCACCAGTACAACACATCTAGCCCAAGCGAGTCAGCCCCATTCTCCCAGCGTAAAACAACTGTCCAAAATAGGATCCACTGGAATTGAGCCACTAAGAACTTCTGGGATGTATACAAATTAACTGGTCAAATATGCACCTGGTGGTAAGATCCTCCCACTTGATCACCTGATCACAGTTATCAGAGAGAGACAGCTTGCAAGGAGATGCAGAGGTAGCATCAGACACCCCTCTGGAGGATTCTGCCCAACCCTGTGCGGCACAGACAACTGCCTGAGCTCAAGCACGGGGCTGGGGCCTCCTGAGCAAACAGAGAGAACTGTGGAGCAGCGTGAACCCGATGGATCCACTGCTGGAACTTACAATTGGCTGTAGCTGCGCGCCCGGGAGCATGAACTGCATCTGCTGAGCAAACATGGCTGCGGCCGTCTTCTGCTGGATCAGGTTGTTGCGTCCATTTATTTCAAGTTGTGTTTTTAAGTGTGGGGGAGGGTGGAGATATTTGCAGTTCTCTCGGGTACACCGGCCCTAGAAAACATAATGAAACAGCATTTCAGTGAATGTAACACTCAGGGCAGCTGGAGAAATTTAATTAAGGATTGTTTGGGTTACTGGAACAACACAATCATCGAGGCAGAGGCAGTTTGGTAGCTACTGTGCCTCTTTTGTGATTCTTCTATAACGGGTGAAGAGAAGAGCAACATGACTTCTCCTGCAGTAACACTAAGCGAATACTATCAAGCTAAACCCAAAAGTCAGGCTTCCTGATGTTAAAATGATTGTTGTAAGAAAAAATTCGAAACAACTCAATGCAAACACCAATATTTTCAGAAGCTAGTGGCAACAGTTCCAGAAACAACAACAAAAATTCCCTGTTTCCTTGCGTGGGTTGTTTTTCCCCTCCCTCCCAACACCAGACAACTTAATTGGCCCTGACAACCAGACAGCAAGAAAAAAAAAACTGTCTCCACCACTTCCCCAGCTGCGCTGGGTAAAACATTAAGAGGATAGCTCTGTAAAGCAACACCTCTGATCCACAACATGCAGGTACCCCAAGATGCTGAGAATTGGCAGTCACAGGAGGAAGAACTGAAACAATTTTCCCCCTTCATGCTTTCATTTGTCAAAAGCCACGGTATGTTGCATCACTGACTCCTTACCCCTGCAATAAACATAAGCACTGGAGGTGCCAGTGGCTCCTAAAAAGCAAGACACCACTAACGTGATCGCTGCAAATCAATGGAGATCGTCACTTAAAAACATCTATAAACTCTGCTTTAACAGAGTTTGCAAGTAGACACAAGAAGATAAATATCAATAGCTTGCTGCGTAAGAAAGCTAGTAACACATTTTGCCATTAAAATTAAATAATTCCTGAAAAGTAAGGGTTTGCCCCCCCCCCTTTGTGTATTCCCTCCTCAAGAAACAGAGGCATACAGAACACATGATACACTTAATGTAACTTTATCATTAAGTTATTTATAAATCTTTTACCCAAAACTGGTGAATTTTTTTGAGGAACAAATTCTTTGGAGCTATTCAGAACATATTAAAATAACACCAGATCTGGAGGCCACAAAGCTGTTCCATGACAGATAACTAATGGTTCCTGCAGCCAGCAAAGGCACAGGACCATCCATTACCCAGCCTGTCCCAGGTACTCTCCTCAAGCGCTGGACACGGAGTTCTCAGTAATTAAGTTTGCTTTCCAAAATGGCACATCAGGTGAGCCCATGTACCTCCTCCTGTTAGCAGGAGCAGAGCTGTACAGGAACAGGCAGCAGAGCTGTAACCCCATAACCAGGTCCACGGGGGTACAACTTTTACACACCACTGCACCCAGAGCTCAGGCAGGTGGGAACCTCCTCAGAGGGGCCCCTCCTGCATCCAGGATGCTCCTCTGGGGATTCTTAAGACTTGTACAAATGTACAGGTGGAATCACTGGACAGTCCAAGTACCACTGCACAAAGCCAACACCATGACCAACTGCAGGGGCTGGTTTTGAACCCCCAGCCAGGCTCTTGGCATGCTGGGGAAGGAGCAGGTCACTGTAGAGGAGCCTGAGACTTGCAAGCTCTCCTCTGTGTGCTTTCCTCTGCCCCCTTTCCTGGTGGGGATAAGAGCTTCCATTGGGAGAGGGCTGCAGAGCTTGACTGCAGCATGAAAGGGGCTGTTTGACATGTATCATGGGAACAGGCTCCTCTCTTATCTGCTCCAAGGAGATCATAGTTAAACAAAAAGCAAATAATTAAATGCAAGAAGTGGTGGGCTAAACCCACTGGGACAGGGAAAAAAACCACTTCCAAACTTTAGCAGCCTGCCTTTACAGAATGAAACTCTCTGCCCCGCTCCTAAAAGAGCCCAGTGGCTCCCAAAAACCCACCTCAAAAAGAAAGGGGCTTTCTAATGCTATTGTTTTGGCTTCTCCGCAATCCAACAGCCCCAGCAGTGAGTTAACTGCTCACAGGCCCTGTGGATGTGAATCTTCATCAAAAGATACTTTCTCACATCTGTGTGAAGTGAGGGTAAATGGCACCACACAGCTGGGTGGTGCTCAGGTGACCCTGCACCCAGGGAAATAACCACATCAGTTTGGGAGGAGGAGGCATCAGCATTAGGCAGGTCGGGTTCATGCTCCTCATGGCATCTTTCCAGCTGCATGGGACCAGGTCTCTCCACAGCCCTTTCCATCACCTGAGACCCAACAAGAGCCCAGGGTTCAGCCACAGAGCATATCTGCAGCATCCCACCTGCACAGCTTCTGCGGGGCCGCTGCTGACCAGGAGCAGACCCCACAGAGCCGTGGGCTGTCGAAGGCCAGGCAGCTGCTCTATTCTAAGCTCCAGCCTCCAAGGGCTTACACATCAGCCTTAGAAATTCTTCCTGGCTGTAACTTGGCACAAGTGCTTTGGGTTGGGAAAACACTAATTTCTACCAAATTTGGAAGAAATCTGTGTAGATTCTACACTGCAGGAATGGAGAAGATGAAAAAAGAACTACCATTTTTTGTAAACAATGCTTACACAGTCGTCTTCAACTTGAAAAGGACTGCTATTTCAAGAAAATTGTGAATATCATTGATATCAGCAACCCCAGCTTACTGTGAAGCTTTGTTCTACTTTTTTCCCTCAAAGCAGTTTGTTTAATTCCAAGAGGGTGTTCTACAAACAGAACATTTTTACTACCAACAAAAAACCACAATACAGTACGAGGCCTTGGTCCTCCAGACAGAGCCTGTGAGTCAAAACCAATGCCCACACAGAGCTAACGGTTTCAAGGACACGTATTTGTAAGAGACAGAGCTGTGCAGATGCTGCTGCAGAGCGAAGGCTGTGAAGTGCAGCACGGCTGTCAGTCAGGCCTTTGAGGCTCGAGAAAGACTAAATGAATCACTGCTGCACTCAGATTCAAACCCACACCTTCGGCCCAGCTCCTCCTAGTCATCATTTTGATCCTGAGCATCACCAACCACTGTGTTTCAGCAGGGTGGGTTGGAAGCCACAGCTGAGTCGAGTTGCCCTCTCCAACACCACAGTAGGTTCTTAATCTCTCAGACAATGAATTTTTGGAACTGATTATGTGACTGCAAAATGTTCCCAGTTTAGACATCCATGTATGAAACAGCTTTCAGTATGTGTCACTCTATAGTCATGGGCACCACTAGTACTCCCTGAACTCCAACACTGGTAGGGGTGAGCCCTTCTTCTACACTTCCATCACAATGCCCACCATTCTTGGTACTTCCCAGCAACGCACACACTCTTCTAGACCAATTTCAGCTCTATGAAAGCCGCCAGAAGGACAAAAGAACTGCCATTTTTCACTCCTCAGTACCAGCTGCAACACAGCAGGGAAAGCAACAGGGAACTGGTAGCAAATCTGCTGCGTGGATAGTGGGCTGGGGACAAATAAGGACAACTCCATTTTATACCTCTGTGGCCTAGGAATACAACAGGAGTGAGGCCCCCAAGTTTCAGATGAGCATATTTATGTACAAGCTAGAGTTTTTCTGCAGGGACTAGCTATGGCTCCAGCACATCAAATGCTTATCACATGGCACAGGACAGACTCTGCATGGAGACCAGCTGAGGCACTGTCCAAGCTGAATGTTGCACCAAAAAGCACCATCTTAGCACATGGCTGCATGTGTCAGGAGGGGACGCAGTGCTCAGATCTGTGTTGGTGAGCAGCATGCTGAGCCTACTGGGACCGGTGCAGCCATCCTCCTGTAACTGGGAGTTTGCTGCTGTTAATTTAGCACGAGTATTGACTGCAGAGAAGGCGCACTCCCACCCCGTCCCGGGTGGCACATGAGCCTGCAGCCAGGGAATCACTACCCAGTAACAGACTCTGCTGCTGGCCTTGGTAACACGCTAAATATAGCTGTATTTTCTGGCTCCTTGCAAAATGGAAGGAGTCTGAAGGACCATATTCATCAGCTTCTTTGCCAAATACAGCCAGGAGGGAAAAGCATATGGACTGCACTTCCCAAGGCTTGAAAAATGGATATTAAATATAAATCATTAAAGGATTTTATAAGAGTATCTTCTCCCCATTTCTTCCCACACACTCCCCCACCCTTACAGTAGGCTGCTGGCATGTGATTGACTCTGTGTTGCCAACTTAAGTCATGCTGTGATGGCGTATACTGTAAGTGGCTGGCATCTGACACCAGCTAACATGACAGCAGCATGTGCTGCAACAAAGCCAGATGTTTTGAGTGCAGCACTAATGGCAGCACACTGAAATCCGGTAAGAAAACCTGCATTACACCTGGCTATCTGCTGGGCTGAACCTTGTCATCTGCATCCTAGCTCAGAGGGATGCAAATAAGAGCATGCTGGGTACTGCACCAGGCTGGATGAACCTACTCTAAGCAGGCTGCACAAATTGTCTCCTCACTGGTTGCTGAAGTTGAACTGTGCTGCAGAAGCAAGGCTTCCACCATGAACCCAACACTTGCACCAGTAATGCAGTTTGCTATGGTCTCTTTAATCCCAGACCCAGTGAGGGGCTCCAGACACGTTTCTGGTTTTAATGACTGCACTGTATGTCCTGTCAATCACCAACAGTTCTCATGTGAAAATCTTCAAGCTAACATGGCTTTTCACACACTAGAGGCTGCAGTAGGCTTGTGCCCTGACTGTGCTGCCTTTTCCACAGACACTGATGACATGTACAATGACTGACAGCAAAAAGAATGAAAAGAGACCAGGCAGGAAAGGATTTCTATGTTTTGCACAAAAGCAGGCACCAAAACACAGCTTGTCTACATAACTATTCTCTGCATGAAGCAGCAGATTTCCACCTCCCCAAAAGGAACTCAGTGGGGAAGCACATTCAGAGATGTGCTGGCCCTGCTTACTCAGTGCCTGTCGCTCCAATGCTGAGGCATGAAACACTCTCTGCTTTCCATCCCACTCACCACATGCACACAGAGGCCTTCTCCTAGCTATGGATCCTTGCTCCTGCCACAGCCTTGCATGGCTTTTACATATGAAATACAACTTCCACCATCATGGTGTCT